TGGACGTACTGCAAATAATGCATAGAAGAAAATAAACAAGAAGCTATAAAGACATATTTACGACTCTACAGTTTACAACTGTCCGGCAGATAACCTCCCAGTGACGACTGTCATTAAAATACAGATGGAAATGCAAAGATAAAGCTATATTTAAATAAATCCAATAACATTACCTGCTTCAGACTCCGATATCCCGGGTTTGATTCCCACGGGGGGAAGATTTTTCTGTTCGGTTTGGTTGGTGATAGGGCTTGTTCTAAGTCCGCCTGGCTAGCTACCACCATCTTACAAGTCTGTCGCTATAACAACAATGAGTGAGGTATAGGCCAAAAGCTTCTTCACTGTGGATACAAAGTCTTCTGATTAAGTCCCTATTAACCTATTAAGAACTTATCCATCAAGATACAACTAATGACGTCACAGGTTTCGGCAAAGATATCTCGCAGATAAAATCACCTAGATAGCGACAATTTCTATCAGATAATCTGAAACGTGAACGAGATTTGAAACTGGATCTGAATCTGCGGTTATGTACTTGAAAAAATAGTTATTTGCTCAATGCTTTATGGTTGACATTCTAATAAAGGAAAATGGGCATGACAAAAAACACCTGAATAAACTCAAGTAAACAAATTGCTGAAATTATTGAAAACAAATGAACATACGCAAATGTAAAGTACATAGTAATAAAATTTTGTATACACAGAACATGGTGCGGTCGTTTGTTGCTATGTTACAAAAGGTGTTGATGCTCGTTTATGTAGTAGTTTGTTTCTGAGGTATAATTAGCATAACTTAAGATTTTAGTTAACATAATGTGTCTAAATACACGTTTAAAAGAAAACAGGAGATTAACTATCAGTAAATGTAAACTTGTCCCATTGTTTTATTTCATAAACATAATGTTTATTGTAATATACTGCTACTCCCTTTTTTTCTATTGTTTTTTTGTATGTTATAAACACAGGCCATGGCCATGGCCATGTCAACAGATTGTATGATAAAAAATTCGAGTATTTTATTTCATTGAACATTAAGTGTGGTGAACGCCACTAGTTTTTCTCAAACATATTTGCCAACAAACGTCACTTGTGTAGGAGAACATCCGCTGTAGGCGTCCTCCCACTGAAATTGAGAATTGTACAGTCAACAAGACACCAGACTTTATATTTGTTGTAAAATAAAACCTATTTATAAGAGCATAAGATAACACAGTGTTGAAATTGATGTGATCGTCTGTACATCGTACGTCATCTCATACCATGAATCATTTTCTCAAAGGGAATTTAATCCAATGCAACTACGAGTAAGTCCTATGAGTAATTCGACTTGCAAGGATATCTGTAAGTGACTTGTTCTGTTTAGGATTGATTTCCACTAAAGTAGAAGCGAACATTTTCTCAGAGAGAAAACTTTTGATATTTTATTTTTGCCATAAAATTGATATTGCTGGTAATCCTCTATGGATCTTATCTCCTACTAAATTTCACCTCTCACAACAATTTTCCAAACACACCCAAATTAAATATGTTCTTGAATACATTTACATGCATTTATTTCAAACCAATTTAAATCCAAATTAACAATGTAATTAAAAATCAGCAGATATTTACCTTTGAAACCCAAAACTAAATTGGTAAATGGCAAATAAATAACCATGAACCTTTTTTTCGACGGAATTTGAATAATTATTCAAAATTCAATACAGTTACTAACAATCTATTTAGCTCTTTTTTGCAGTCTTTAGTCTCGTTTCGTTCCATGTATTGTGACGAATGACGACAATGCAATTAGTTAGACCGTTGCTTTTACTTTGTATTGTCTATACCACGCTGGCATACATGTGCTGGTCAGGATCAGTCATCGACTTTGGCATGTGACCTAACTGTAGATTTTTGTGTTGAAATGCACACAATCAATTTTTTAAATTCCTTTTTATACCTACTGCCTATTCTGTATAAGTGCTCTTCGGACCTGTGCCTGTAGAAAAACCACAATTAAAGATTATGTTGCAGTGCTAGAGAAAGCTGAAGCGCTTTTAAATGGGACCTATAAATAAATGTGTGAAATGTAACAAATAAAATACAATTGCCAAATGCTTTTTTTTTTCTCTATAGCCTGTTACAAAGTCAAATAATTGCGCATTCCTTGCCAATTCCTCTGCTCCGCTTTGTATGGGGGCAGCCCTAAGGTAGATGGTATCGTATGCGCGTACGCGTGATGTTGAGGCGCCATGACACCACGCACGCAGACACGTGCGTGACGCCGCGTAGTGATGTGTTGGATTATAATTATCGACAAATGATCCGCAAATCATAAAAAAGCAATGTGATAACAGGTCGTAACTCACGCAAACTTGAATAGAGTAAATGCTACTTTATCCATTCAAAATGATATAGAGCTGTAAATACCGAGTTTGATAATGATACCTACATGTTATTTATTAACATTCACAAGAAGTACCTAGATAAGAATAAGAATAAATGTATTACTGTATAAAACTTAGCCTAAACACGTACATGTTTGGTTTCAATCAAATTAAGTTTAGTGTGCGAAAGTAAAGATGGAACAAAAATGGCTAAATTGGACCTCTCTTAACGGCGCGTCCACACTGAGGTACCATTATCATGCTGAGCATCATGTCAGTACTTAGTTATCATAAAACTAATTTGACGATTCTGCGTTAAGTGATCTTATGACTCACACACACATTATACTCTTAACTTACAATTTATGAAACGAACATAAAAGCCTTGTATAAAAGCGGCGATGACCGACAACCTACATGTTTTAAATTTGAAACGCATATCCACACGTCACTAAACCGCGGCGTCTAGAGGCCGCAGGATAGCTGACGCCGGATCGTGTGTCGCTTGTCTATTTTATCAATGAGAACGATCTGTCTTGCTCATTAAAGTAATGGACCAATCATACATGAAAGTAACCGTTAAATCCATTAGGAGTACGGAGTCAAGCGAAACAATTTGATTACTCGGTTTACCTGACATACAGTATACTGGTACAGTGGCAGACGAAGCCATGCGAAGTTTTTTGGCACCCACTCGCGAATCTAGTGTAAAATACATTGGTAGCTTACGTTCTGTCACTTAATTTCCGAACTTTCGATTCCACTGCGTCGCCCTCTGAGTAACCAGGGTCCTTAAGTTCTTCCAACTCTCCTATTGAGAAAAAAATATCTTTGAACTAATTGTAGTAGCTAGACCGCTAGTAAAAACTCAACCAGTCAAGGCCAGGTTTGTCCCAATGAAAAACAGGCTTACACAAAAACTTTGCCTTTTGTCTCTTGCCACTAAAACTGGAAATAAACCGCAAGACTCCGTAATTGGTGCAAATAACCCCGCCCTATCAGAGCCGCAATCTTAATTGCCCTCAAGGCGATCGTCGGAGATTTATTGTATAACGTTATAAATAACTTTCTCTCGACAGTTAAAGGACAGATAACGCCGTGCATTAATCGGTGGGAAGGTCTAGTTCAGTTCTGCGGATGAAAGCCTATTATGTAAGATTTTGCGAACCTTTCCCATGCATATTTCGTACAAGACTTGCGAAAAAATGTCAGGAATCTTTGTACACTTTTGAGTGTACTTTTGAAGAGGTGCGAGTTGACGACAAAAATAATAGATGAAATCGTAATTTCCCAACTCGCACCCGCTAGCGAGTTTGACACGTGCGAGTTGACGAACAAGTCACGAAATCAAATAATGCCCCTAATGAATGTTGTGAGCACTACAACACCAGTTACGGTGGAATCTCTGTGGGGACAAATGTTGCTAGGAGAAATACGGATGACCAGAGAAGACAGTTTTATTTCCTTTTGTGAGTTTTCTCATACCAGAGTTTGTGAGAATACCGCTACTTCAAGAAAACCCTTACAGAAGAAATACCAATCAATATGTAAATGAATATGCTGTGGAATCATAAACATGCGTCAAAGGGTAAATCCTAGATAATCAGAAAACAATTAAGGATGTTATCAAATTACCAAACAGAAGCTAGACGTCATTACGTGTTTGCCCTTAGTCACTTACGTGGGGAAACATAACATCGAGAAGATTATGATAAATTACATTATAATAAACTCTTTAGTTAGATTTTGTTATAGTATGGCCTTGCAGTCACTATATTTTATACTTGTCAAGCAGGACTCACTTTTAACATTATCTAAATGCATTTAGAAACTACTGAAAACTGCAAAAGTAAATTTAGCCGATGCGCTACATTTTTCACCAGTGGTTCCTTTGTTTCTTAACGAAAATTCAATAAAATGTTTTTGAATGGTAAACTGTAAGTATTTTTCAAATTCGAATATTCCGACCGTGAACCATGTAAATTCTGCGTCATACCAGTCATACTGAAACCCAGACGAGCTGTCCTCTATTGTTACTGAGTTACTGACACAGGAAATGTCCTAGATTTTAAAGCAACTAGAGTGTAGAGTCTGGGCCATTCACGTATATGGGCTTTGTCTTTCAAGATGTCTCACTCGTGTAACATCTTACATGAACTTCGTCTGTCGTTGTTAACGACCCAGACGTCTAATATCATAAACTACAGACGCCTTATTTTAGTAAGATACACGTGAAATTTTGCTTGAAAGCTTTAAAAAGAAACAATTTTACCAATTTTTTTTTTTAATATCTTTGGACATTTTACACTGCGTTTCTTGTCCCAAACTAAGCAAAGCTTGTACTGTGGGTACTAGACAACGAATATAAACATACTTAAATACTTTTTTTTTGTAAATACATAGGTACATACTATACATAGAAAACACCCAGATTATTTCAAAACAAAAAATCTCATATTATCTACCTAACTGCTGTGTAATCAATGGCATACTAGTAATAATTAGATCAAGTTTAAGTATACGTATTTCTAATATTTGCTGACTTCACAAGTTTATTTATAGCATAGTAGTAAGTGACATCATCTATGTCACCGTCTGGTCATGTCGCTATGATAATACAGATTATGCTCGTTGTTGTCTCGTCCTCGATGATGAAAGATAACTAGTGTAGTCCCGGCTTACATCCTCTGGCGTCACACAATTTTAAAGCTAAAATAAAATATTTCTGAACGCAGTCGTACCTAGGTCCCACCACGCCATCTATACCTGTCAACTCATTCGGTTTTCCGTGTTTAATGGCGTCACGTTTGCGGTCGTGAAAAATTTGTTATTTTATAGTGTTTTTTGTACTGAATATTCGAAATAATGGAAATAAAAAGGAAAGGAGAACATAAACTTCCTCTACTGAAAAAGATTCGACGGTTGGAAAAGAAAATAATCAGTTTACCGGAATCCGATGACGAAGGTGAGGTTATGAAAAAATGAAGAATCTGTTCGAGGCTCTGGTTTATTGGTAATAAACTTACTTATAGCAACCATGGGGGTGTTCTGTGGGAACACACGAGGTTGGCGATATAAGTAGAGCACTTTTTTTGCGGCGATGTACGCATTTGTTGCATGACGCAATATGGCGGCAAGGCACGCTACGACAAAACAATACTTGTCTATTTATGCAACCACTGGGGTGTTCTGTGGGAACACACACGGTTGGCAATAATTACCAAGGGCATTCTTCGGGAATGCACGCAACTTTTATGCATGACAAGCTATGCAACTATGTTTTCTATGATGGACCACACGTTGTCGGCAAACCTCGATGCATCCGGAGGGAATGCATGTAAATTTCGCGGTACAATGCAGCACAGTACCAGGAGCTTCCATTCAATAGTGTTTCTTTTACAGTTAAAAGGAGATTGAAGGTGAAATTGAAAGTGAAGATGAGAATGATCATCCTGAAACAGAATTCCTTGAGGATCTTATCCTTGACGAGGATTACAACAAAAAGGAGGAATTAGGGGATGAAGTACTGAATATACTAGGAGTGGCTCCCGCTCCAACCCCTAAGAATGCACTTCTGCTCAAACAAATTGCTGAGAGATGGTGCGAGATCCTGGAGAAAGGACTGAAAAAAGATGAAAAAGAAACAGTTACAAAAGACAATCCAGCCTTCCAGAATGTACTCAAGATGTGTGCTCAAAAACATAATAAGGAAGTTGCTGCTGCTCTAAATGACAGGGCTAAGAGAAGGGATCAAGTAATTGAAACCCGACAGAAACAAATGTCCACAGCCTTGGCCTGTGTAGGCCATGCTGTACAGATGTGTATCGGAGATCATTAACAACTAAAACTGTAATAAGAAGCTGAATGAAGCGGGTTAGCAGCTAAGTGATTCTATATGTTCCGGAAACCAATTGATGTAGAAACTTGGCACTCTCAACAATAAAAAATAACAATCTAAGGACTCATTACTTGAAACTGAGAATGGAGATTATTTGTTTGGTAATAATCTGATTGAAAAAATAAAAACTGCAAGGGCAGTTCAATAATCATGAAAGGAATTAAAGGTGATAGTGAATGAGAAAAAGGAGAACTTCATAAGGTGATCTGAAATCTGCTAAGAACGAGAACAATCGTGCTTCAAACTGGTGAGGCCCTCCTCGGATGTGATCACAGAGGTTCCAGAGGTCAGGCGGGCCGACATGCAATCGTCAAAACCAGCCAGCAAGGAGACGAGGGTAAAAATAATGCTAAGGTAGGCAGAATCAGTTTTTATTCTTAACAATTGGAAGCAAATCACTAGTGATCCTGTGATATTATATTGTGTCCAGGGTTATAAATAATTACCTCAACAGGGGTCTCTACCCCTAAACAATAATTTGCTATTGGTAGACCAACGGCAGATTAAATTAAAATTTAAATTGTTACTCAGTACGAATGCCATTGAAACATGATGGTTACAAGTGATCGATTCTGTTCTCCAGTCTTTGTTATAAGAAACCAAATGGTACCTATGTTTCATTTTGAATTTGAAAAACTTAACACTTGTGAATACTGAACATTTTAAACTAGAGGATTATCGCACAGTATGTAAGCTTATACAGAATAATTATTACCTATTTAGTAACTTTAGATCACAAAGATGCATATTACCTGACTAATATAAATGACTGTTGTTAAAAAGTATTTAAGGTAAAGTATTTATTTATTTTTATGAAGGAAAACATTACTAAGTAAATGTTGTTGGACTTTAGAAAATTACAGCAAATTACAGCTGCTCTATGAGAGAAAAGTTGCATTTCAATTATTTATAATTGACAATTATCCGGGTATTGGTAAAGACTATATTATGTTTTAATAATATGAACATGATTTTAGATCTTATCCACATAAAGTTTTATTGTTAACAAAGAAAAGTGTGATCTGATTCTCAAACAGTAACGTTAACTTCAGTAAGGTTTCTTTAATACAGTACAAATGACATTAATGTATATTATCTAACTAAAAGAAAGTAAATTCTTTAAATTGATTAAAGAGTTATAGTCAAAGGTGATGTTCACAATAAGTTCATGTGCCAAGTAAGCTTGAAGCTATATGTCTAGCCATAAAATACGGTATTTTATACACCAAATAATTAACTAAAATTTCTTGCAGTTAAAAAGTAGGTATAATGATAAAAATGAATACAAAATTTCTTTTAACAATCAACGTAGAGAGGCGGAGCAATAGTGTAAATGAATCTAAGAATACTATTAGAAAAAACACTTAAATATCCGAGATATTTAGTGATGCTTCTATGACAGTATGGGGAGCTTCATGTGGTACAAGTCTTACAGACGTAGTATGGTCAGAGGACAAACTAGGCTCTCATATAAATGCTCTTGAATTAAAAGCTGCCTGCATCAAAGTTAACAAAATACCAAATACTTCTTAGAATAGACAATGTTACTGCTATCCATATGTATAAACAGACTAGGTGGTATTCAATATCTACATTTACATAGCCTTGCAAAACAAATATGGCAATGGTGTGAATTAAGAGATATTTATAATCAGTTTATGTACATAAACATCAAAATTAATGTAATTGCAGTTTTTTGAACCAAGGAAACCACCAAGTAACATAGAGTGGGAAATTAATTACATTTTGAACAAATAACTTCAACCTTAGGAACACCATCCATAGATCTCTTCGCAACAAAGACTAACAAGAAATGTCATTGATTTGTATCACCGCGTCCTGACCTGGATGCATTTGCAATTGATGTATTTACACTTTGTTGATATCAACTGAAGTTTCATATTAATTTCCAACATGATCCTTAAAACCGTGGAAAAAATAGTTTTCAGATAAAGGGCATAGGGGTAGTTCCATATTGGAACACCATATTATGTTTATGAGATAGCTAGTTCACAAACCATCAATTTTGAAACTTACTAAAGATTTACTTATATTACAAAATTCCAAAGAACCACACCCCGTGCACAAGAACCTAGACTGATGGCAGGAGTATTATCAGGCAGGCCTTAATAAAATCTGGAATCAGTGAGATTATGAGATCCGAGATCATGTCAGTTTCTATATCTGTTAATACATTAAAACAATACCAACCATGTATTGTAGTATGGACTAAGTATGCACAAGAATTATGGCTATCAACAAAATAAGCCAAGCTTTCCAGATGTTATTACTTATTTAACTAAAAAGTTTCACGAGGTATTGTCATAAGGTAGTTTGAATTATATTAGATCAGCATTGTCATTAATTTTATAGGTACTCACCTCGACGAAACAGATGAAAATATCAAAAGATTGTTTAAAGGATTCTTTAAGTTAAGACCTAGTGCTCCTAAATATAATGATACATGGGATGTATCCACAGTTCTTAAGTATAGGTATTGAAATGGAATATAAAAATAGACTGCTATATTGTAATTTTAGCCACATGTCAAAGAATGCGAACATTAAATTTAATTGAAATAAACAACATAGTTATTAAGGATGATTGTGTAACAATTAAAATTGATAAATTAAATTAAAATTAATAAAGACCTCTGGTCAAGTCTGATACGTGTCAGCCATTTACATTACCTTTCTTTAGGGATAAAGTAGAGATCTGTCCTGCTCAAGCACTTAGTGATTAGTTTGGTGCAATAAAACATCTTAGAAAACCACACAAAAAGGTTTCCTCCAGCACAATCAGCTGTTGGATAGAGACGTGCATGACAGAAAGTGGTATAGACACATCAATCTTTACCATACATTCATAGCATTAGGCACGCTACAACATCTGCAATGTTAAAAAAAAAAAAAAAAATGTGATAATATTGAAGTTATACGGAGAACAGCTGCTTGGTCTGGGGAATCCACAAACAGTATTTTGAAGGTGTTACAATAGACTCATTATAAATAATAGTTACTTTGCAGTGAACATTTTTAGAAATTAATAAGTTTATATGAATGCTATTTAGCTCATAAGAAAAATATGTCTGATTAAGTAGTGATAAGGGTAATAGTTACTAATTAATGAAACTTTGAATAAAACAATACTTTTTTTACTTGAACATGTTTGTTTAATTTTACAATTTGAACATGTTTGTTTAATTTTACAATTTGAACATGTTTGTTTAATTTTACAATTTGAACATGTTTGTTTAATTTTACAATTTGAACATGTTTGTTTAATTTTACAATTTGAACATGTTTGTTTAATTTTACAATTTGAACATGTTTGTTTAATTTTACAATTTGAACATGTTTGTTTAATTTTACAATTTGAACATGTTTGTTTAATTTTACAATTTGAACATGTTTGTTTAATTTTACAATTTGAACATGTTTGTTTAATTTTACAATTTGAACATGTTTGTTTAATTTTACAATTTGAACATGTTTGTTTAATTTTACAATTTGAACATGTTTGTTTAATTTTACAATTTGAACATGTTTGTTTAATTTTACAATTTGAACATGTTTGTTTAATTTTACAATTTGAACATGTTTGTTTAATTTTACAATTTGAACATGTTTGTTTAATTTTACAATTTGAACATGTTTGTTTAATTTTACAATTTGAACATGTTTGTTTAATTTTACAATTTGAACATGTTTGTTTAATTTTACAATTTGAACATGTTTGTTTAATTTTACAATTTGAACATGTTTGTTTAATTTTACAACTTTTATCTTTGAACATCTACACTAGTTATCTTTCATCATCGAGGACGAGACAACAACGAGCATAATTAATAGTCAAACGAACTTACCTGTACGTGAAGTTCGACTGTAATTATGCGAAGTTGTTGTCTCGTCCGAAGATGATGAGTCCCACCCAAACCCTTGGTTATTGTAATAATTAAGAGTAAGTAATTACAAAACGCCCCAGTTGTAAAATTAAACCTAATTACTTTAAACTTGAATGAGTTGACAGGTATAGATGGCGTGGTGGGACCTAGGTACGACTGCGTTCAGAAATATTTTATTTTAGCTTTAAAATTGTGTGACGCCAGAGGATGTAAGCCGGGACTACACTAGTTATCTTTCATCATCTTCGGACGAGACAACAACTTCGCATAATTACAGTCGAACTTCACGTACAGGTAAGTTCGTTTGACTATTAATAATACTTCACAAATATCAATGGAAGGGCAATATAATTTAGGAGGGAGACCGCTAAATACCTTGTAAATTAGCTCAATTCTTATGACAGAATACAAAAATATACATAACAGACAAATCTTTACTTGAATACCGCGTATCTACACCATGCTGTCACAGAAACCGAGAAAACGCATCACACATTATCATACCAAAATTCCGAAATAATAATAGAAGTCTAAATTAATTTTTTTTGGTACATACAGATCGAAATTATAAATTTTTGATTTTTATACATACTTTTTTTTAGTAAAATGACAGTCCTGCTGTCATTTTGGGGCTAACTTACCCCTTTTATGCGAAAAAATAGATCAATCACAAATAAAAAAAGCCTTCCCTCCGTTTTAAATGAAAATTATTGTAAACAAACCTAAATGCATCACTATACATTCAATAACAAAAATGTCTACATATAAAATGTTCTGAAATTAATTGTTAGTCCATAAAATTGATCTAGCATAACTGTTCATCAAGATAATAAATTTACAATACATTTATTGTATTTTGAGCTTTTAAGTTGAAATCCAATACTTTAAATTGAGTTTTCTCAATAATAATAAACAATATGCATAGCAATAATCATCATTTCAGAATGTAGCAGTCCGTAACTGGACGTAAATTATAGTGTTGCTCAAAATATCCCATCAATATAGATCGTTTCATCCACTCGGACGCGCCCCACCAATGTTTGATCTCGGTCGCGCGGGGTGCGGGGAGTGTGGTCCGAGCAATCCGTAAGGCATTATTGTAGTGCGCGTGTGCACTCATGGATGATTTAGCGTGTAGGTACTGATAACACTCAAACATTAGAGGAAGAATGGTGGGGCGCGTCTTCGTGGATGAAACGATGTATAGTACAGATAACTTTGCATAACCACAGACAAATACTGGAAGCCACGCCCACTACTCGATTGTACAGGGTGTCCATACTAAAATGCCATATTTTAGAAATGATAGACTAAAAGGGTGTGCAATTTTAAAGTTACATTTTAATTTCAATTAAAATTTAAAACAAAAAATCTAGTAAAATTTAGGAAACAGATTAGTTATTATTGCAAGTTCTAATAAATTTTACATTTAATAATGATTATATTACGGAATTGCTCTATACTTTTCCAAATTTGGCCTTTATCAATAACTTTAGCAATACATTTTTATTTACATTGATATTTTTCTCCAGTTATAAACCCAGTGTATCTTTTCTACTTAACTTTGGCACGATGTTTTCGGGACACCCTGTATTAATTGTCTATGTCATAGACAAACTTGTTCAACTTCCCCATACATAATCCTACCGAGATGTTCACAATATCTTTACATAACTAAAGTCAGACTTTATTAATATATTTTACATTATAGGTATATTGCATAACTCAACCAATGCATCAAGTAGAGGGGTGACACTGACAATAATATGACGTGAAAGAGCATACAAATCTGAAGCACATATGAAGTAGGGATGTTATGGATATGTAGTTTCGGTTATGGATACGGTTACGGATATAGGAATAATATTATACCGGTTACGGTTACGGATATTTTTTTATTTCGGATATCCGAAAGTTTCGGTTACGGTTACGGATGTCTGTGCTTTAGAATGCAATTTGCAATAGTTGTCCAACACGGTTCATACATGGCCGCACACTTTACATCGAATAAAAAAAATTATGCTAAAGCCTGGTCCGTGAGCACGTAGAATTTTGTCCAATGACCCCAAGCTACCCATCCTTATCGCTCGCGCGTAATTATATTGCTGTCGCGACTGAGCGACGAGCGCCCGCAGTGAGTGTGCGAGCGCGACAGCAACATAATTACGTGCGAGCGACAAGGATGGGCAGCTTGGGGTCATTGGACGGGATTACACGTGCTCACGGACCAGGCTTTAGATGGAATTATAAAGGTAAATCAGGCTGGTATGCCTTTACATATTTTATAATGCTATACAAAAAACAATTGAAACTGGCTACATCCGAAACTATCCGAAACTTTTGAATCGGTTACAGTTACGGTTTCGGATATCCGAAAGTTTCGGTTACGGTTACGAATATCCATAACATCCCTGATTTCGCCCCCATACCTGAGGCACTGATTAAGTTCAGCGCTAGACCAATAGTTTCTCTTCCAATAGGTTGTGTGGAAGAGACCGCTTTTAGCGGTAAGAGCGCCTCAGCTACAATAGGGATGTTTCCTGGGTCAAAAAGCAAGAGTTTTAATTAGTCCGTCGGTTAACTTATCAAAAAATACTCTACACGTTTTTCACTTTTTCAAACTAATGAAAATTTAAAGAGATAAAGCGCGCCAAAGTTCATAAGAAGAGGCCCGTGACGTCAATGCGTGCATAAAAGTGCCGCACGTTGTGACGTCGTGCGGAACTTCAACGCACCATAACTATGTAATTATTTGTTAGATTGACAAATAAAAATATATGTGTCCAATATTTTTTGATATTAAACATGACGGACTAAAAAAATTTTTTTAGGAAACTAGCCTATTACATTTGCGTGTCTATCGTGTTTTTTAGTGTAAGCAATAAAGTATATTTTTGTGTAAAGGACAACGAAGCAAACAATTTATTAATCAACTCTGATCAAGTAAGATTGATATGTCCAAAACCGGTAAAATAAGAATCGATAGCACGTCAACAAAACAAAACGTATAATTTCCTGATTATAGTCTGGTCTGCGAGCACGTAGAATTTTGTCCAATGACCCCGAGCTACCCATCCTTATCGCTCGCGCGTAATTATATTGCTGTCGCGACTGCGACGGGCGCCCGCAGTGAGTGTAGACCGGGCTTTAGACGTTTACTTTTATAACTTCAGTAATTAATATTCATTTGCTTTAAACGTGGTATTAAATACTGAAGGTGTGGGTTTTTATACTGTTCTCGTGTTTAAGCAAGTATAGGTTTTACAGAAGTAAACTAAAAATAGTCTTTCCAACTAAAAACCGTTAAAAATTCGGCATTTTACGTACCAAATATCAGCTTTTACATATCTTTATTATGACATCACCTAGGCCCGATTCGACCGAACTTTTATCCGAGAATAACTCCTGGTATAACTGTCACATTGACAGTTTCAGTATGGGAAATATGTCAAAACTGACGATTTATTCTGAGATTAATATTTACTCTTGTTTGGTCAAAAATATTGGCATTATTAAGGTACCAACCAATACCAACCTTGAAATACAGTATACCAGTATACCAAACTCACAGACAGACACGCGGCGCTCTTTGTGTATATCTACGAATAATTTACGTAACTAACTGTACAGAATACTGTTCAAACCGCGCCCTGGTTGTTCTCGGTGCTCACTATCTGGTATGTGATGAGGTACTCTGGGTATGCCTGGAAAAAAACGTATTTTAATTAATTTTAAGCCTTTATTTTTAATGAAAATGGGCGGGGAATACAGCTACGGGACTTATACCTCTCGTTTTAAACAAAGGTTTAAGGTTTTAAACCTTTGTCACCTGTCATCCGCTTTGCAATGGAGGGAAGTCGAACCTCAATTTCGAACTCCTCCTATGTTCTGATTAATTTCGTTGCGGGTCCAATGACGGTTTAACTTTCCCCCGGGACAAACTTGACCTTCATTGGTTGGGTTTTTATGGCGGTCAGCTGTAGATCCTGGCTACACAGGAGTTGCAGTGGTGGGAACGAGAGGTGGGAATAGTCCCGTTGCCTCTCGCTCCCACCGCTGCAACTCCTGTGTAGCCAGGATCTACAGCTTGATCGCCAATAACCCAACCAGTGAAGGTCAAGTTTGTCCCGGGGGAAAGTTAGCTGTGTGTAAAGCCCGGTCCGTGAGCACGTAGAATTTTGTACAATGACCCCTAGCTGCCCATCCTTATCACTCGCGCGTAATTATATTGCTGTCGCGACTGTGCGACTGGCACCCGCAGTGAGTGTGCGAGCGCGATAGCAACATAATTACGCGCGAGCGATAAGGATGGGTAGCTAGAGTTCATTGGACAAAATTCTACGTGCTCACGGACCAGGCTATAGTTCAAAAATCAAAATCAAAATAAAAAAAAAAAGTACCTATCGGTTGTCCGCCCTTGCCTTGCCCTGCGAAGGTAATACACGAAAATGTTTTACAATGGCGCTAGATTCCTTTTTGCTATGTAGACACCAGGACATAGTTGTGCTACTAACAGTACNTAGATGGCGTGGTGGGACCTAGGTACGACTGCGTTCAGAAATATTTTATTTTAGCTTTAAAATTGTGTGACGCCAGAGGATGTAAGCCGGGACTACACTAGTTATCTTTCATCATCTTCGGACGAGACAACAACTTCGCATAATTACAGTCGAACTTCACGTACAGGTAAGTTCGTTTGACTATTAATTCTAAACGATGTAATGTCACTGCTTCTCAAAGTGTACGACTCCCATTTAGAAGTGGAAGTTACTAAGAAAATTACTAGGAATATCAAGACATGTAATGAATGTATGGAAACAACTATAACAGCACACTTGTGATGGAAAACTCAAGTCTATTCAACAGTCTCCCTGTCGGTTAGAACTGTTTCATAAGACAACTATAGCTATGTCCTGTAAAATTCCAAGAGGATTTTTTTTTATCCACAACGAGGGAGCTCTTGGCCTGCATCTCATCCTGATGGAAAGTGATGATCAGGCCGAAGGTGCGAGCACAGGAACCCTTTGTTGGCTGTCCTACCTATAACTATGGAATGCTAAAAATGAGACATTAAATATGAAACCTAGCCTATTTCTTCACTAACGTTTATTGAAAATAAAGGAGGTCTGTAAAATGAAGTTTGAGAACCATCGTAAAACGATGCCATAAAACAAAGCGCCCAGATGCGAAAGTCCTTGACATGATTGCGAATATTCAACCACGTGACGACTGTAACCTGAGATTTATAGAGCAAGATTGATTGAACTGGAGTTGGTACTTGGTATGTACTTGAAATATTGTACGTAATACCACAGAATAATAATAAGTACTACGTACAGAAGTTTTACTTCGCGAAGGTATTTAAAAAAATGTATGCTCAATGTCATTAACAATATGGTGTAATTTAGCCTGTCTCAAGAGTCAAGCACCATTTTGCTGACAAACGTCAGTGATCGGCACTGCGCCGAAGCTATAGGGCTGACTTCGGTAAAATGATGTGACGTGAGGTGCCAAACTGCGGAAAATGGCGGAGGAAATACATGATTTAGCATGAATGATCATGAATAATATTAACTACTTATTTACCTCTCAGTGTCTTGAGACAACTTAAAAAAGTACATTCTGTGTTTTTATTATTATTTAGGCAGTTAAATACTGCACAGTGTTTAGTACACCATTTTCTTTATTTTCTTCCGTCATACACAAGAATACGCGTGCGTGAGTCAATATTCGCTCGTATGTGAGGCCTTGTCGAATAGTATCCTGTAGGTGGGCCATCGTGCGTATTTTGTTTTCGATGTAAACTCGCGGAGATGAACAGGCCTGGTAATACTTAACCTCAGAAAATTCTGTAAGCGGCGTTTCATAACTTTCTGAAATCAATTTGATTTGAATTTAACTTGAAGAAAATGTCGATAATTTAATCATCACTATAGAGTTGTTTGTAGAGTTATCGTTAGGTAATTCAACTAAAAAACTGTTTTGGCCGACAGCTACTACGTGTCTCTATATTTTTTGTTAATGATTAAACGAGTGTTATTAATAATGGTTTTCAAGTTGTTGTTTTACAATATTACTCTCAAATCTTCATGAATTATGAAATATACAAAATGTCTCATTACATACAACATGTCCCAAAATTCAAGGATAAGCCGGCGCCGCAGGGTGGACATAGTCATGACTACTTTAGGAAAAATAAGAAAAAAAATCTATCTCAATTATTTTTTAAGTTACACAATAAATTATGAAATTCGTCGAAAATTGACACCCCTTATGATATTTTACATTACCACGACCACAATTTTTCAAATACTTCTGTTTTTTTGTTTGTATCGGCAACTTAAGTAGTGCTGCTGTCCACTCCAATTCTTAAAACCCTCAGAATCCTTGCAGTTTTTACACAAAAGTTAATCAAAATATGATATTTCCTTAAAATTTTGAACGATTTTTACTTTCACTCCACTTTGACTCGTCTTTTTGTAAAAAAACAGTATGAACACTACTGCGGCAAGTTTTTTATAAAGTTGACGCAACTATCCAAGATGCCAAAATGGTATAATACTCTAAGAAAACTAGTCGCAAAAAAGATATGCGTACCATTTTTACAAGCACTTCGCTTGTTAGTTAGTATGGGATAAATCTTGCAATTAAATTTAAAACCAGTTCTCCTCAACCAATTGAGCTGAAATTTGGTATACTTATGTAAGTACGATGACATTGCAATATTATGGTATCATTGAGCTGGATGGAGTCTGGAGGTGGCCATAGGAACTTCTAAACGAAACGGCGGAATCGCATCTAGTTTGGGGTCGTTGGATATCTTTTCGAGCACTTTAGTGCTAGATGATGTCCAGGGTCCTGATGATGAAGTCAAGAGGTGGCCAGGAGCTGGCCAAAGGAACTCCTAATCGAAATGGCGGAAGATGATCGAGTTTGGGTTCGTTGGATTTGACTTCCCGAGCACTTGGACCATGAGATTGAGAAACAACTAAAAAGTGTAAAATAAAGTTATAATAAAAAAACTTTTTTAAAAACAAGCATTAATGCGAAATTTTACGAAATAATTTAACGATAAAAATAATTGTATGCAAGGTTCAAATAATTTCGAAAGTTTGTAGCGCAAACAGAAAAAAAGAGGAATAAATTCCATGCGCGATTATAATAAAGTAAATAAAGTTTTTAGTTGTTTCTCAATCTCATGGCCCAAGTGCCCGAGAAGACAAATCTAACGAACCCAAACTCGATAAGCTTCCACTATTTCGTTTAGGAGTTCCTATGGCCAGCTCCTGGCCACCTCTTGACTTCATCATCAGGATCCTGGACATCATCTAGCACCCAAGTGCTTGAAAAGACAAATCTAACGAACCTAAACTAGATGCAATTCCGCGATTTCATTTAGAAGTTCCTATGGCCACCTCCAGACTCCATCCAGCTCAATGATACCATAATATTGCAATGTCATCGTACTTACATAAGTATACCAAATTCCAGCTCAATTGGTTGAGGAGAACTGGTTTTAAATTTAATTGCAAGATTTATCCCATACTAACTAACAAGCGAAGTGCTTGTAAAAATGGTACGCATATCTTTTTTGCGACTAGTTTTCTTAGAGTATTATACCATTTTGGCATCTTGGATAGTTGCGTCAACTTTATAAAAAACTTGCCGCAGTAGTGTTCATACTGTTTTTTTACAAAAAGACGAGTCAAAGTGGAGTGAAAGTAAAAATCGTTCAAAATTTTAAGGAAATATCATATTTTGATTAACTTTTGTGTAAAAACTGCAAGGATTCTGAGGGTTTTAAGAATTGGGGTAGACAGCAGCACTACTTAAGTTGCCGATACAAACAAAAAAACAGAAGTATTTGAAAAATTGTGGTCGTGGTAATGTAAAATATCATAAGGGGTGTCAATTTTCGACTAATTTCATAATTTATTGTGTAACTTAAAAAATAATTGAGATAGATTTTTTTTCTTATTTTTCCTAAAGTAGTCATGACTATGTCCATTCTGCGGCGCCGGCTTATCCTTGAATTTTGGGACACGTTGTATATGATTTTAGCTACTTCCTAACTTGTTACGCTCGGAAGCAATTTTAATACCTGATTTAAACTATCGATATAATTTTATGAGTCAGTTTGTCACTTCTCTAATCATAATCATGTCTCCTCGGTTATTGTCAATTGTTAATGCTTTTTGTTATGTAAATGGATTACTTTCTAAGGAAGTGCTTGTCTGAATCGCCCACAAATCAATTTAGTGCAAATAACTGCAATTTACTGCACTTTAGAGATCAATTTGCAGTATTGCAGTTGCAAACTACAATGCCTTATGTAATAGATATTGGGAGTAAGCTTTTGTTCTTACTTAAGTACAGAAAAAAGAATTGTTATACATACAAAACTGTCATCTGGCTGTTTCAACCTCGTGGATTTGAGTAGCCTGACTCAAAAAGTTGTAACGCCGCCTTTTTAACACATCCTGAAATTGGGAATTAATCATCTACCTATCAACCTTCACTTTTGACTTTTAAATGAAAAGAGCATATTTTCTAGACAAAGTTCCTTCTCGATTTGACAATCTCGATTCTCTATTAAAATTCAATGGTTAGGTGTGAAACTGTAACAAACTGAAGTCTTTTGATTTAATATTTCTTTCATTTACTTATCAGATTTGTGTGGCGTGCCATATAGAGTCTAAGTAGTCTATTTTTGTTCTTAAACTAATGAACACGTGCGTTGTTTGACAAATGATTCTGATCCACTCGTCTCTAGCGCCATCTTGCAAATTATCGCTACGAGGCGTCGACTATTTGATGGAATTATTTATAGTTACCAATTACCATTTGTACCAGTTCGTTTAGTACAGTTTGTTGCTAAGGTCAACGTACTTACCAATTGTATTTAGTCCCGCTACCGACGGTCATAAGTCAATCGGTGACTGAACGATTGACACTTTAACTTTAGGTAGGTAACTACTTACTGTTGTAACTTATCGATAGGTACTGTTATACTTATCGATAGTGAAAATATCGTAAGAGGCTTAAAATATTGTTTATTTAATATGTAGTTCAATAAACAAGAATAACCATAGCCTTCATGAGATCAAAATAAAACCTTAATTTATCTCTACATACTAAAAACTGAAATTCCACGATTTATTGCTACTCGTAATTATGGTCGTCAACATTTACTGTATGGATTTTTGCCATTCAGATGGATGCATCTGAAAAAAGTAGTTTGAGATGTCAAACTACTTGTAGGTGGTACTTAACAGATTTTTCGTTTAAAAGAATACTTCATGGGACAATCCTTAACGCCCTGTATGAAAAATACATTATTTACATAGATAAAACCAAAAGTAATAAATCTATAAAGTCAGAACTTCCCTTATCTGCACCTGTGTGTATGTACATAATAGCATGTACGGGACTATTCCCACTTCTCGTTCCCACCGCTGCAACTCCTGTGTAGCCAGGATCTACAGCTTGGCTTGGCCGCCAATAAAAACCCAACCAGTGAAAGTCAAGTTTGTGCCATAGTAGCATGTAGGTAACAGGGTACACTGTTACTTAAGACCATGTTAAAAAAATCTCTTACGCCGTGATGTCACAAAACAAAGAACACGACAGCTTTTCCTAACCGTGGCTCTAAACTTAGACAATTCAAATGTAATTTTCAGCGGCATTTTAATTAGTTGGAAAGTAAT